GTAGATATTGTGGCTACAGAAGCAAATGCATTGCAAAATATTAGCTGCTTTCTTATGATTATCTAGTTATTTGCATACTCTGTTGATGGAAACTTGGCTCAGAGATACATGGCGTCTAACTATTCACGTTCCCTTCACCCTTTATAAAGAAATCCTCAAGGTAATGACAGGTAAGAACCTTTTCCCTCCAAGCAAACTAAGATAGAGTGTGCATGATAAAATGCATGTACCAATGGCAGGTAAGTCTGCAAGGTGGAAGAAGACAATCTAAAGCAGGCAGTTATGTGTCCTGTAGCAGAAGCACAGGCAGGCAGGAAGGAAGGAAGGAAGGAAGGAAGGAAGGAAGGAAGGAAGGAAGGATGGATGGAATATGTGGGAGCCCACATATGTAGATTTTTTTCTACCTTGACTAAAGGTCAGAGAGTTCAGGCCTATTCTTGGTTTTTCAAGGTTATGGACAGGAGATTTGAACCAAGGTGTGGCTGCTAACAATGTTTTGGCCTAGGTTGTGGTTACTTGGTTCTCTGGGTATTTGAGAAGGTGATCATTTGGTTCCTTGAATTTTGGGAAAAATGGTTTTTTTTTGTTTCCCCCTCCTCTTTGGATTGGGTGTATAATGCTTATGAAAAATAAAAGAGGGTAGATTCAATATTCACTGGGTGTGGGCCCTCCCAACTCTATCCTGTATCTATTCTATTTCTTTTCTATCCAGTGTATTGCTTTTGAGTCTGAGTTTTTTCTGCCTAACATTTTGAATCCCCACACCCTACCCTGGAACATACAAACCCATCAAGGCTGGACCCTGACCAGGAAGTCAGGATAGGAACTCAAACATGTCCCAAAACATGACAGAAACCTGGAGGCAGGTGGTAATATAGAGGGCTTAGAAAGGTGTAACTCACCAGATTGCCAACACCCAATATCAAATTAAATGCGGAGAAACTCAAAGCAATCCCACTAAAATCAGAAACAAGATAAGGTTGTCCATTCTTTTCTAATCTACTCAATACAGTACTTGAGGTTTTAGCTAGAGCAATAAGACAAGTAAAAGAAATCAAGGGGTATAACTCAGAAAGGAAGAAGTTTTAAAGTATCTCTACTTCCAGATATGATAGTATACATAAGCAACCCCAAAATTCTACTAGGGAACTCCTACAGCTGATAAATAACTTTATCAAAGTATTTGGATACAATATGAACTCAAAACAATCAGGAGCCGTCCTATATACCAAAGATAAACAGATTGAGAAAGAAATCAGGGAAACAAACTCTTCATAATCCCCACAGATAATGTAATATACCTTGGTAAAACTCTAACCAATTAAGTAAAATCTTCAAGTCAAGAAGAAAGAAATTTGAGAAAATATCATAGGATAGAAATATTTCACATGCTCATTAATAGATAAGATTAGCATAATAAAACTGTAGATCTAGCAAAAGCAATCTACACATTCAATGAAATCCCACTAAAATCCAACACAATTCTTTATAGACCTTGAAATAACAATACTCAACTTTATATGAAAAAAAAACTGAATAGCTAAAACAATCCTGTGCAATAAAAGAATTTTTGAAGGTATCAAGATTACTCATTTTAGGCTCTACTACTAAGCTATTATAATAAAATTCACAGTGTATTGGCATAAAAACAGACAGATAGATCAATAGAATTGAATGGAAGACTGAGACATAAATCTACACACTTGTGGACACCTGATTTTACAAAGAAGGCAAGATTATAGGAAGGAAAGAAAAAGGCATCTTCAATGAATGGTGCTGGTCTGACTGGATTCCCGCATATAGAAGAATACAAATAGATCCATACCTATCATCCTCCACAAAACTCAAGACCAATCAGATCAAACCTCAACATAAATCCAGACACTGAACCTGATAGAAGAGAAAGTGAAAAATGGCCTTGAACCCATTGGAACAGGAGACAACTTTCTTAAGAGAATATAGTACAGGCATTATGACAGATAATTAATAAATGGGAACTCATGAAACTGAAAAGCTTCTGTAAAGCAAAGGACACTTTTAATAGGTCAAAATGGCATCCTACAAAATGAGAAAATATGTTCATCAAATCCACATCTGACAGAGAGCTAATTTCTAAAATATATAAAAACCTCAAGACAGTAGACATTAAAAACAAATGTACAACATCCTTAGTCATCAAGGAAATGCAAATTAAATTGACTTTTATTCCCTTTTACACCTGTCAGAATGGCTAAGATCTAAAACACAAGTGACAGCTTTCCTGATAATGATATAAAATAAGGGATGCACTCATTCATTGCCATTGAAAGCACAAACTTGCACAGCCAATTTGAAAATCAATATGACAGTTTCTTGGAAAATTGGGATTCAACCTATCTAAAGGTTCATCTACCCCACTCTTCAACATATATCCAAAAGATGCTCCAACATACCACAAGGTCACTTGCTCAATTATGTTTATTAAAGCATTATTCATAATAGCCAGAACCTGGAAACAACCAAGATAGCCCTCAAATAAAGAATGGATAAAAAAAATCTGGTACATTTACAAATTACTATTGCTCAGTAAAGAGTGTTACTGAGCTGATAAAACAATGACCTCATGAAATTTCAGACAAATGGATGGAAATTGAAAACAATCATCCTGAGTGAAGAAAGCCAGATCCAGAAAGACAAACATGGTATGTACTCACTTAAATGTGAATATTATTTCTAAAATAAAGAATAGCCATGTTGCAACCCACAAACCTAGAAAGGCTATGTAAAAAAGATCTCAATGGGGGACACTTGGATCTCCCTTGGAAGGAGAAATAGTACAGATTTCCTGGTGAGGCAGTTACCTAGTGTAAAGGAAACTCTCAGGTAAATAAAAGAATTTCCTTACCTAAAATTCCTAGTAATAGAGGATACATAGCCTGAACTGCCCATCTCCTGTGACCAATAACCAGTACAGCCTGAGACCCATACCACAAAAGTGAGTCCACCCCTAATCCTGCCCAGCGTTCCAGGACACAGAATTTGATAACCCAGAGTCCTAGGATATAACCAAATATGACTGACAAAAAGAAAGAAAAAGTCACTGTAAAGATGTTTAATGATATTCTCCTACACTCATAGACTGGTGTTTAGCCCAATTGTCTTCAGAGAGACTTCACTCATCAACTGATGGAAACAAAAGCAAGACCCACAGCTCAACATTGGGCTGAGTTCTAGGAATCTTATGGAAGAAGGGCAGAAAGGAATGTAGAAACAAGAGGGGTCAATGACACCACAAAAAATCCCCACACAATCAACTAAGCAGACTTCACAGTGACTGAATGGACATCCAGGGAGCCTGCAGGGTTCTGCCCTAGGCAGTATGTATATATGTTACAGTTGTGTAGCCTAATCTTATTCTGGAATTCCTAACAGTGGGAACAGGAGCTGTCTCTATTTTGCAGGTTCTTGGGTCACTACCCTTCATAGTGGGTCATCTTGCCCAGCATTAATACAAGGGGAGGTGCTTACTCTTACTGCCACATGATTTGCCATGTTTTGTTGATATCCATGGAAGGTCTGCCCTTTTCAAAAGGGAGGGAGAATGGATAGATGGGGGGAGGGTGCAAAGGAGAGGTGGGGGAGGGGCTGGCAGGAGAGGGAAAACTGCAGTCTAGAATGCTAAAAATTAAATAATGATGCAAAAAAGAGGTACTGAATCAAAGATATTCAGCATGCAATTTACTAAGTTCAGGATGACTATTCTTCTGACCACTTACGTCTATTAAGATGAAAATTAAAGAACATTAGATTATTTATTAATGATTTGCATGTTGAATGACAATAATGAGCTTACAAACTGGACTGTCAGAAGAGATTAGTTAATGTGAATAACGACAGAAATGCAGGGAACTCTCCTATATTCAACGTTGGAGCTGCTTCTCTTCACTGCGCACATAAAGCTTTTGATTTTTACTGCAAAGATCGTAAGATAACAGCACCATAGTCAAGCAGATGGACTGGATCCAGATATCCAGGAAGCTCTCACTTTAGTGTGTCATTTTATAGCTTATTTGATTTAATGTATGACATTAAATTCAAGTCACTCAAGATATTGAAATGCTGATTTCCAAAACAAACAGTACTTTCTATTTGTTTACTTGTGCAGACCAAGTATACTGTGGAATTAGCTTCCAAGAAATTATTTAGCAAATAAAATACTTTAGTTAATATATGATGCTGATATCAATCTCATCTGTTTACAACATTCTGCTGCTTGCTCTGGCAAATGTCAAGCTGTGGCTATACAATAATATTTCATTTTGAATGTAAAGTTTAAGATTGTGAAACTATCTTAAGACACACATTTTATAAACATTTTCCTAGATAATGCATTTGTGTATCTATGTACTGTCTACTGAAATTCATAGCTTATTACCTCACCATGATTTATCACAGTTGATAACTCAGTAACAGACTGCTGTTTGGAAGAGGCTCAGTTTGATAAGAAGTCTTTGGCTGGTGGTTTTAAAGAAAATATTTAAGGAACATTTACCCCTCCCACCCCCCGCTCCATCTACCTCACATGTTGTGTTAATGGTATATGTCACCATGCCTGCCTTATTTAGTCAGATCTTATTCAATTACAGTCTATATATCATATGTTTGAAATGACTTTGAAATGGAATATGTACATTATATGAAGAAAGAGTAATTAAGGCCATGTGAAATAGATACAATTTAAAGTGCATTTAGTTTCCCATTGGGAGAAGATAAAGTAAAGTAATATACTATTTATGAAGAAGCTCTAACAAATCTACCTTCTTGATTCAACTCAAAGTGAATCTGTTCTTTCTGTCTAGTACAGTATTTTGGAAAGCCACGTCCCAACACTAATTATTAGAGAGCATTTCTAATTCATATCTTACCTTTAAATCTTGTATTTTTTAAAAAGAATTACAAGAATAAGTTTTTTCACTGTGCAATAACCATCTAGTAAATTTCAAAGAAAACTGTGCTGTTACCTTAAGAGACTCCTCTTGCTTGAAGAGATCTTCAAAATCCTTAGCACAGAGTTCAGGAGCATTTAGAAGTTGTTCGACTTCTGATAGAGCTTGTGAGATATGACTGATCTCAGTCAAATAAGTAGAAGGCACATAAGAAACATCCAGCGGCATATCTTCTGTAGTCACTACCATCGTCCCTTCACGGAGCGTATGCTGGTACAGATATACAAAAGAACAGTTTTTAGCTCTTTAAGAATAAAAAAAAGGAATTTGCTGACTTTATATCAATTCCAGTATACAGTTGGGAGAGAGCTGGAAATGGGTTAAAAATAAACACATCACGACGTCTAATAAAACAGTAAAAAGCATTCTATACATATATTTTCATCTTCTAAAATATTTTTGATGAGTTCCACACATGTTAGAATTCCAAGTAAACAAAGAAAGGCCAAAGTCATAGGGTTGGGAGGAAGTTAGTTAGACTCTAAAAAAGGCAAAATATCAGAAAAGAAAGTTTAATATTTAATTTTAACTTTTGCTCATTCATGAGAAAGAAATACTACTTCTTTTCTCCTAGTGTTGATCGAGGTATAAGACTCACAAAATGGTTTGACAGAGACTGTATGTATCTTTTGCCCAAGATGCAGACATTGGCTCTAGGCTTCAATGTTAGCTGGATATTAAAGTAATCAGCTAATTAAACTGCCAAATAAGTTTGGTTGATTTTAGGATTCCAAATTTTCCAGAAATTCCCCCAAATCTTAGAATGTCTGTCTTGCTTCTACATTTTCTGAACTGGTTTCCAAACGTCACAGATGGTAAAAGCTTCAGGCCTTTTCTTGGAGTTTGCCAGTAGTACTTATTTCCTTATTCTTCATAAAAGCAATAACTAAATGCAACTTGACATGCAAATTCAGGAAGATGGATGACCTCTGCTCTTTTCTGTCTACAGTATAGGCAACAACACTCTGGTAATTGAAATTATTCTTTCAGTTACTTTGTGCTCAATTGATCAACTGCCACATGCCTGTTGATGGGGTCAGCTGAGGGCTTCAGTGGCAGGGTCTCTAAGGAGGTTCAGACAATACCATGCTAATAAAAGGGCTTTATTGCTGCGTCTCTTTGACAGAGCCATGCACATTTTTCAATAACATGATTAAATGGAATTTGGGATCCCATACCAAACTCAACTCCCTTACTATAAAAACTAAAAGCTGATTAGTTTGCCTTCTTTTAGTTTCTCAGACTTGGGAATTTCAAAATCACTTTTTGTATGACAGACTAGTAAAATTTATTCTAATTTATTTGTCTCCTCTAATTAAGTTGTAGAAAACTCAGAATTGCAGACGAAGTCCATTTAAAATGACATGCAAATTATGGAATTGGTTATATTTAAGTCAAATTCTTGACACATTATTTTATCATCAATGAAATGATAACATACATTTCTAACATGCAATTAAAATGATGAGAGAAAGTTGAGCTTGAGTTTGATTAAGACAATTTAGTATTTAACCATAAATTTTAAAATCTAAATTTTATTTCTGCAATTCAAATCAAACATTTCAGTAATTTAAATATATATACTCTTACATATATAAATAATTGAGTAGGGTATTTAAATGTGAAATTTGTAGTGACAAATTGGGTTCAAAACTACGTAGGAGAATTTACATAAAAGGTTGAACAAATTTATTACATGCATGCATACCACTAGACAGGTGACTATGTTGTTCTTAATATTTTGAAGGTAGAGTTTGTCTTCCTTGTTTACACTGACTGCTTTAACATCCATGAGAAAACTTTTCATCATATAAGTAAATGAACTTTCTTACATTTTATATAATGGTACAATTGTTTGTATTTTAATACCCGTTCTTAAATAATATTTTTGTTATTCGTGTTGAATATAGGGGAAAGAGCAATTTTTTTGTGTTTTAGTAATTATTCACCTTCTTTTTCCATGATGATTAATTTAAAATGAGAACTTCAAAATATGTAAAGAACAACATAACCTCATGTAAAAATTTAAAATACTGCTAATTAAAAAATGTTTTGATGTACGTTTCGTCGCATTTTTTCTTAAAAGCATTTTTCTGACATTCTTTGTGTGTGTGCCTTGATTGACATTTAGTTCCCTCATGTGCATTACAGACAGTTTAGATGTGAGCAGCTACTGAAATTCTTATGTAGAAATTGTAAGTGAAATGTATCGAGTGTATTAACTAAAACATAAACTACAGTGAATAAGGAGGCACTAGGTAATCTTACATTTTGAGACTCCCGTATATTTAACAAAGGGTTAATTTTATAATTTACTATTTTAATTTTTGGTGCTTGTAGCTCATTATATTTTGATTTTCATGAAGATGCGTTAAATTAAATGGAGTTGGCATTAATAATTAGTTCTAAATGCAGAGCCCAGAAGTTCAGAATTCTCAAAAATAAGAGTTGCCGTGAATGATGATTTGCTCTTTAACGATGGTTCAAAGACATCAAGCAGCTGACAATCCTTGGCTTTATTTTTAAATTTCCATTGCATTTAATTTATTTATATGTATGTATGAAGATGTGTGTATATTTGCCGTAGTGGATATATGGAAGTCAGAAGACCAGTTGCTGGAGTTATAACACTCCTTTCTTCCAGCATGTAGGTTGCAGGGCTAGAACTCAGATCCTGAGCCTGGTAGCAAGTGCTTCCTTTCCCTTTTAGGGCATATCACAGACCCTGGGTTTTCACTTCTGCCTTTCTCTACCTGTTTGCATATGTTAGCCAAACATTTATTGCAAAACTCTTCACCTGTACTTAAATGAAAGACTTAGCAAAATGTTTTGTGACAGTCAAATTCTATTTTTTTAAATTGTTAAAACATTACATCTAGTTCAGGAAAATGTTTCCTTTATTTTACTCGTATGAAGTAATTGTTCAAAGAAATATTATTGAATTAATTATAAGAAGGAGAAGGTCTGTTAATATCTATATTATGGTTATTACCAAGACTAACAGTCGAAACTCTTTCAACAATTCATGCATACTCACAAAAACAGAATAATTAAGCCACTAGCTTTCACCACATGCTCAGACATGGAAGTAAAAGATGGTCATGAACATTTCTAAGCATTAAAATTTTACATACAACTGATAAAATCATTTGAGAAAAATGAATGATAAAATTTTAAAAGCATCTGAATATGAAAGAATATAATCATGAATATCCTAAACAACCAATGTGGAAGAAATATTTTTCTTATTTTTAATTTTTATTCATGACAAAAATATGATATTCTGGCTATACCCAAAAAAAGTATTTCTCATTATAGTGTATATTGGTACAGCTAGACGTTTAAAAGAAAAATTTAAAAGTTTTTTTTAATTTGAATGTACTTAATTATGTCTAATTTATAGAACACTTTTCTCCACTATTAGTTTAACACATAGTATCCAGCCAAAATATAGTGCCAAATTTTAATAGCACTGATCAGTTGAACAGTAGGAAACACAGAGATTTTTTTTGAGCTTTTAGGACAAATCATAATAATGCCAATAACTCTTCAATATCACTAGGAAATGGTTGACTCATTTTTGAAAAAAATCTGTTGAATAAACTTTGAATATATAAATGTGTTGTAATACTCAACATTTTTTCAACATGTGATAATTTGAATATATAAAGATAACCACAATTTTCTTTTGTTCTCATTTTCTATTTGTTCTTTAAATATATATTATTTTTGACAGAGATATGCAGGTATTACATGTATAAAATGTATCCACAGAATATCTTTCAGCTTGGTTTCATAAAAAGTTCAGACAGTCATTATAAAAGTCAGTGTAATTAGAAGTATCGTGTTCATTTTCTCTTCTTTATGCAAAATTCAAGCACTCATAGTCACATTAAGCCTTTTGATTTGAATTTCATTAACTATGCTTTAAGTAATTATATCCTTCTGAATTCTGATGTGTGCAAATCCTGTGTAACCTTTTGAAAATTGACTTGTTTATGTTAATGTTTCTTACTACCTTATATTATTACAGACTTGCATATCAAAATAGGAAGCATGCAATTGCCACAAGAATCCATATTTCTTTCCTTTGTCTATTACTGTTACTAAATATATACATAAACAAAAGAACATACTTTCCTCATTTTTCTCTCAACAACAAAAATAATATGTGAACGCAACCTCAAAACTTCTATTTGTATTTAGAAATAGATTGTCTAAGCAGTGTTTACAAGAGATTATTTTAAGAAAAATACCAAGATTTGCAGTCTTTAGGTCAAAACTAGTTGATTATTTGAGTCATTTAAGTACGTACATACATCATTTATGATTTACTAAACTTGGTGTCTCTGAAAATTTAGTTATCACTATCTTACACTATATCTTACACTCCTTTAAATTTGTTTCTTGGAAGGCCATCTAACTATGATATTAACAGCTTTGTTTAAAAAATTATGCATTATATTTATTCATTAAACAAAATGATTTCTGATATGATTTAAAGGACCTCACACTTCTTTAAATGCCACAGACTATTAAGTCATTTATGCCACAGTTGGGTCAAAGAGACTCAAGAAGAAAAATGGCATACCATATGCCATACTATGATGACTTTCTCTCTCTCTCTCTCTCTCTCTCTCTCTCTCTCTCTCTCTTTCTCTGTGTGTACATATACATACATTATATATCATGATATATAATGTGTGTATAAGAGAAAAGCTGTCAAAATATCCCATAACTAACAAAAATTATTACCCTAGAAAAGAAACAGTGATGGTATCAGTTTTGCTATTTAATTAGTATTGATATAAAAATAAAAGGGAAGATATATCAAACCTTCAAATACAGAGCAAATACTCATGCTTAAAATAAGCAATGACATTACATCATGTGAGTACTCACATGAAATCTTTCTATTTTTAACTGATTATCTATTTTCAGGATGTCATTATTAAATATTGTATATTATTTAAAAGTACTAGTAAAATGTTTCATAAGTGCAAAGTATGATTACAGGTTTTCTATTCACATTGATGAGTCACAAATGAAAAGGAATTGAGAAAGATAAGTTTCTTAAGCTCCTGATTTTAAAGGTCTTCAAAGCCTGGCAAGTTTCCTTCTTTACATCATTAAAATAATATCAAAGACACATTATTTATTTCCCCTAGATCAATTATATATAAAAATATTAAAATTACAAAATTTTACCT